GGGAGCCAAAGTAGTAGGTCGACGAGCGAGGTTCATCCCTTGTTCCTTGATTTGCTGAACGGTCTCACTCATGCTTTGTTGTTCAGTTACTCTTCTCCGTTCCGACTCTGCTAGTGCCACTGTAAGTTTAGCTATTTGATCCGACATAGCAGCAATTTGAACACCGTCAAGTGCCTTGGCTTGACGTGACGATCCAATACCTTCTAAGCCTGACTGAAGTAGTCTAACATCGTTTCAAGAGCCTAGACCATAGCATCTATCCTTGTGTGTCCCCCCTACCACTTTTTCTTTCTAAATCTAGGTGGACAGTTCATGTGTCAATTGGACCGAACTATCTAGATTCTCAGCAACGTACTGACGAAAGTCATTCTGCATATTAAATATAAAAATTGACATCAATATATATACATATCATAAATATATTCACTATTAATATATATTATTCATATTAAATAACTTATAAAAGTTCGTTCGGCCCTTTCCTCCACCTACACATCCGGATCCGACTCATTTTCTTTCTTCCTAACATGAGTCTTCTTGAAAACCTCTGGTTCAATGGGAGTGCGTCACAATTCTTTTTCCTATAAATAAAAACTGAAATTTATAACGATATATATGAATCAACTAATTATTTACTTATCTCTGTGATTGGTTTCCATATCCTTTCGGGTAGATTGCTAAAAGCGATAGGAATTAAAGTTTCCAAGAACACATGACAATCATGACTTTTCATACCTATCAATTTTCCTTCATTCATATCTGCCCGCTTTCCTAAATTCGAAGCATAGCCCTCCGGCATCCTCAAATTTTTAACCCACTCAATAATTTCACGTTTCTCATCCAATGTGAATGAAAAGCTTTGGGCTTAACTTATTTTTCCATTCTGTAATTCTTGCAGCCATAACTCTTTTCTCCTACAATATTCTTTTATGTCCATTCTAACCAACACTAATTTCATAATGCATATTAAGCATCCACAAACGATGATCCATCTACAAAATATAAGATATTCAATTATATTATAAATAAAATTTAATAATAATTTTACTAGTAGTAGTCCTAAAACTAGTTTAGTATTAAGTTCTAAGTTCTAAGTTCTAAGTTCTAAGTTCTAAGTTCTAAGTTCTAAGTTCTAAGTTCTAAGTTCTAAGTTCTAAGTTCTAAGTTCTAAGTTCTAAGTTCTAAGTTCTAAGTTCTAAGTTCTAAGTTCTAAGTTCTAAGTTCTAAGTTCTAAGTTCTAAGTTCTAAGTTCTAAGTTCTAAGTTCTAAGTTCTAAGTTCTAAGTTCTAAGTTCTAAGTTCTAAGTTCTAAGTTCTAAGTTCTAAGTTCTAAGTTCTAAGTTCTAAGTTCTAAGTTCTAAGTTCTAAGTTCTAAGTTCTAAGTTCTAAGTTCTAAGTTCTAAGTTCTAAGTTCTAAGTTCTAAGTTCTAAGTTCTAAGTTCTAAGTTCTAAGTTCTAAGTTCTAAGTTCTAAGTTCTAAGTTCTAAGTTCTAAGTTCTAAGTTCTAAGTTCTAAGTTCTAAGTTCTAAGTTCTAAGTTCTAAGTTCTAAGTTCTAAGTTCTAAGTTCTAAGTTCTAAGTTCTAAGTTCTAAGTTCTAAGTTCTAAGTTCTAAGTTCTAAGTTCTAAGTTCTAAGTTCTAAGTTCTAAGTTCTAAGTTCTAAGTTCTAAGTTCTAAGTTCTAAGTTCTAAGTTCTAAGTTCTAAGTTCTAAGTTCTAAGTTCTAAGTTCTAAGTTCTAAGTTCTAAGTTCTAAGTTCTAAGTTCTAAGTTCTAAGTTCTAAGTTCTAAGTTCTAAGTTCTAAGTTCTAAGTTCTAAGTTCTAAGTTCTAAGTTCTAAGTTCTAAGTTCTAAGTTCTAAGTTCTAAGTTCTAAGTTCTAAGTTCTAAGTTCTAAGTTCTAAGTTCTAAGTTCTAAGTTCTAAGTTCTAAGTTCTAAGTTCTAAGTTCTAAGTTCTAAGTTCTAAGTTCTAAGTTCTAAGTTCTAAGTTCTAAGTTCTAAGTTCTAAGTTCTAAGTTCTAAGTTCTAAGTTCTAAGTTCTAAGTTCTAAGTTCTAAGTTCTAAGTTCTAAGTTCTAAGTTCTAAGTTCTAAGTTCTAAGTTCTAAGTTCTAAGTTCTAAGTTCTAAGTTCTAAGTTCTAAGTTCTAAGTTCTAAGTTCTAAGTTCTAAGTTCTAAGTTCTAAGTTCTAAGTTCTAAGTTCTAAGTTCTAAGTTCTAAGTTCTAAGTTCTAAGTTCTAAGTTCTAAGTTCTAAGTTCTAAGTTCTAAGTTCTAAGTTCTAAGTTCTAAGTTCTAAGTTCTAAGTTCTAAGTTCTAAGTTCTAAGTTCTAAGTTCTAAGTTCTAAGTTCTAAGTTCTAAGTTCTAAGTTCTAAGTTCTAAGTTCTAAGTTCTAAGTTCTAAGTTCTAAGTTCTAAGTTCTAAGTTCTAAGTTCTAAGTTCTAAGTTCTAAGTTCTAAGTTCTAAGTTCTAAGTTCTAAGTTCTAAGTTCTAAGTTCTAAGTTCTAAGTTCTAAGTTCTAAGTTCTAAGTTCTAAGTTCTAAGTTCTAAGTTCTAAGTTCTAAGTTCTAAGTTCTAAGTTCTAAGTTCTAAGTTCTAAGTTCTAAGTTCTAAGTTCAAGTTCAAGTTCAAATTTTAAGTTCATGACATTCAAACATTCATCTTCTACTCATAACACTTCAATTACTAATTTCTAACTTCAAATTATTAACACTTTACTAACTAGTCATAAAATCAAATCCAAAAAAATCCCAATTCAGCCTAAAATTACATATTCTCAAGTTTAAACTAGTCCTAACATACAAAAATGCTAATTCTTCACTAACTAACAATGCCCAATTTTAAAAAAAAACCCTAAAATAAAAATTCTTCAATTATCTATACCTAACTAACAATAATCAAATCAAATTAACAATTGAATAACACAACCCAATAAACAAAAAAAATAATATACTAACAAACAATCAATTATAATCACTAGAATTGAAAAACAAACTAAAATTTAACCCCCCCTACCTGCAGCGACGGAGACCGGCGACGGGGAAGGGCGGCAGGGGACGGGGAAGGGGAGCATTGGGAGAGGACAACGATTGGCGACGGCGACGGAAAGGGAAGCGACGGCGGTGATGTGAGGATTGATATATATAGAGAGAGAGAGAGAAGGGAGAGAATAAGAGTGAAGAGAGAGAGGAAAATAAGAAAATGGCAATATGTCTTTTAGATATTTAATAAAAAGCCACGGACAATGTATCTAAGTCCATCGCTTTTTTTAAATATAGTTGACCTTTATTTTGACCAAAAAGCGACGGACTAAGAGATGCCGTCCGTTACTTTTTGTAAAATAATTTAAAAAATAATTATTTTTTAAATTATTTTACAAAAAGTAACGGACGGCATCTCTTAGTCCGTCGCTTTTTTAAAAATTAATTAATAAAATAAAATAAATTAAAAACGACAAACAACGTGGTTTTTTTTAATTTATAAATAATTATTTTAATAAAGACCGACGGACGGCGTCTCTATATATATTAAATAAATAATTATTAATTATATATATATATTTAGCGCAAAAATCTGCGAAAAAAGCGACGGACTAAGAGATGCCGTCCGTTACTTTTTGTAAAATAATTTAAAAAATAATTATTTTTATTAAAAAGCGACGAATAGTGTAGCAAAAGGCGTCGCTTTTTGGAGCGACGCTGTCCGTCGTTTTTAAGTTGTTTTTTAGTAGTGTAAAAAGAGCATATTATGTTAGGATCACCATATATTTTGATAGTGTGACATCATTAAGAGGTGACTCGAAAGGGGAAAGCGTCGATTTAGAGGTTTGAAGTGCGCATGTTCAGCTTTGAGGTAGAGACTACGACTTACTATCCTTAGACATTGCTGGTTGATTGTCCTAGCATGATAAT